ACCGGGGCTGGGCCGGGCCGGGCCGGGCCGCTGGCGGCAGCTCCCGGGCACCGGCGGTGCGAGATGGGATAGGCGCTCCCCGCTGTCACAGGCCTGCGGCCCCCGGGAGGCCCGAAACACCGCAGCCCCCCTCGGAACGGGTTAAAAATGCGTGAGGAGGGGCGGGGGCACGGCGTGGTTTGACGCTCGGTAGTGCTGCGCTTGCGTGTGCCGGTTGAGAGGGGCGTCGAGGCAGGGCTGGGCTCGGCTCGGGGAAAAGGGTTTCTGGGTGAGACTCGGCAGGTCCGGCGCCGTGGTGTCCCCTGTCTGCAGGGCCCGCAGCAGCGGGGCATCCTGTCTGTAAAAATAATCAGTTCTGGTTCTGTCACCGGTGCATTCACTGAAATGCGGGGGATGCGAGTGTTGCCTGACTCGGGGATAGCTTCTGCACATGGTGGCAAGCTCTCTAAGAGGAGTGAGGAGACCCGAGGCCTGGTGCAGAATGGAGCCTTGGACTCACACTGTCAGTTTATGTAGTTTTTGCTAAGCACAAATCAAAATATCTAATACTGCGATTCTTATTTTGTATGTGGTTAAATCTTCACATTTTTCCCAAATTCATTTTGATCTTAAGGTGACACCATAATGCTTCTGGGTAATCAAAGCTGGTCCTGCTTGCAGTTGAAAGCAGATTCTTTTTTCTGATATAACTCTGCATCTGTTCTCCATTTTAGGATAGCAGTGATGACATTGAAGATGTGTCTCTCTTTGATGCAGATGATGATGTATCCAGGAGATCAAAAAAGTCAAAAATAAGGTTAGTGGTCATACAGATCTTCAAGATGAGGTCTAGGCGGAAGTGAGGAAGGAGAGCCTGTCTTATGACATCAAAATATGAAAGGCAAATATTTTATTTAGTTAGAGGTGATGGAGAGTAACTTCTGGATGACTTGAGTGCCAATTTTGGAAGCTCAGTTGAAATTTGTAGGTTTGTGCCATCACGCTCCTGGGTGCCCTCACATTGAATATGTGTTTGTGTTCCTGTGTGTAAGGGATGGACACTGACACAATGACTGTGTAACGGGAGGTTCTCGCTGTATTGAGTGCTGGTTCTGGGCTAGTCCATTCCCCCTTCCCCAGTCTTTGTTCCCGACTCTGATGCTGCCCCACTGTCTGCCATGTCCTGGCGTGGTTGGTCTGGCCGCATCCTGCCTCGTTCTGCTCAGCCTCCTGCCTCAGAGCAGTGTCTGTGCATGTGCTATGGTGACCTCAGCTCTGTTCTGACGTGGAAACTGCAGAAATCAGAAAGCAGGGCAAGTCTGCTGCCTTGAGAAATGTGATCCTCAGAGGTATTTCCTCTGTCAGAACCTTTTTAAATTTACCCCCTAAAAATTACCTCATGCTGAAGAGCAGGTAAAGCTCCCTGTCCCCTTACACCCCAAATTCTGCCTGCACATGGGGTATCACTGCATGCAGAATGTGTCTTACTCACGATAAGCTTCTAGTCAGTTTGTTTCCCATATTTGCATCAGTTGTTGCACAGCAGGTTCACATTATGGTGCTGGGCTTTATCCTGTGAGTTGGAGGGGGATCGCTTTGGCAATGTCATTTCTCTGAAATTGCTTCAGTCTTGTCTGAAAGAGCTGTGACTGTGCTGTCCTTCATTCCAGGCATCCAGTGGCATCATTTTTCCACTTATTCTTCCGAGTCAGTGCGATAGTTGTCTATCTGCTCTGTGAGCTCTTAACTAGCAGCTTTATTGCCTGCATGGTGACAATTATTCTCCTCTTGTCGTGTGACTTTTGGGCTGTAAAGGTAAGTTCCTCTTACGCTTTTTGTTATCTTCATCTTGCTGTGTAAGAATAATTGAACAGTGATAGACATGTCACCAAAAAAGTAACTTTGTGCCTTTCCCACAAAATGATACCTAAAATATTCTGATACTGTGTGATATATAGCAAAGCATTATAAAATAGTAACTCTTAAGTCTCTGTGTGTCAGGCATTCAGCAGCCCCGCTGCCTTCCCCAGCAATTCCCCCTTTTTGTATTTGTGCTAAGAATATTGCATTGGCAGTCTTCTGCAGGGCCCTTTGCAGGACACTGATGTGACATGGCAACATTAAACACACATCTGTGTACCTGACTTTTTATTTGAAAATCACATGGAGAACATATATTAGGGTTTCTTTTAGGGTAGCACAGGCTTCATTGTGAGATCGCTTTTGAATCGCCAGAAATACGCCTCACAATAATTTGGTATTGTACTGGACATATTAAAAATAGTTTGTTGGGGATGTGAGAGCCTTGTAATCTTGTTTTCCCAAATGTGAGGCCAATGAGCCATTGAAAATAGATGAACTTTGGAAAGTAGTTTCTTTTATCAGAAAGTCTAAAGCTTGTTGCTTTTCTTATGTTTCAGAATGTCACAGGGCGACTGATGGTTGGCCTTCGCTGGTGGAACCAGGTGGATGATGATGGTAGAAGTCACTGGGTATTTGAAGCCAGGAAGGTAAATGAATTTTGTTTTTCTTTTAAGTTTTTCTTTTTTGTGAAACTCCTGTTAATTAGCAGATATGCTTATGATGGTAGATTGCACAAAGTAGGCATTTATTTCCAGACACAGATCTGTGACGAAGTGCTTGTTTCATGGAGGCTGCTGAATGAGCTTTGTGGTTGTTGAATTAAGTTTAAAAATTTTCATGATGGCTTTATATAAGTAACCTAAAAAATCCATATAAAATGCAGTAAAGGTTGCCGTGTCATGTTAGAACCTACAGGTTTTTGGGTGTGAACTTGGAACGGTTGATGTAGCTTTTATCTTCTATAGAAAACTATTGGAAGTGGGAAGAAACCTGCATAGCATTTGTCCTGTGCCCTTGTGTCCGTGGTGGCTGCTGCTGAGTCTCTAGCATCCCATCTGTCAGGCACCTCACCATGTGTCATGTATTGACCCTTTTGATCCCTATTTGTGTGGAGCTGATGACACTTCTGGTATGCACATCTGGAGTAAAGTAAAGATTAATTTCCTGCAGTCACATGGGAAGTCTGCAGAGGTGTAGGGACTTGAAGCTAAACCTTTATCCAGCTGAGTTTGTGCACTCCCTACGGCACATTCTTTTGCAAAACCACGTTAGCTTAGAAAAACTAGAACATATTGGGGGGTGGAGGGAAAGGTAGCGGAACTGCTGGTGATGCTGTACATTTAGCCCTAAATTTTTAACCTGGTCCAGATTTTTTGACTACTATAGGAAGAAGTGACTGCCTGCTTGTGATCTTCAGCTGTGTAAAGACTTTATAAAATCAGTAGTGTGGTGTGACACACACAGAGGTCTGAGTAAAGAAAAAATTACTCTACTTTGATGCCTAAGAGTATCAATATTTAGTTCTGCCAGTGCTAGGATTAGTGAAATTCTGGTTGCCTGTGCAGTGATTTGGATGTAGAAGACGTTACCTGTTTGGCTGTTTCTAAGCTCTGTAACTGAACTGTGTAGTAAATGTCATGTTTCTCAAACTTTTAGCCTCAAGAATTCCAAGAGGATTTGATACTGCTGCCTCCACTGTTTCTGATAGAAAATTTACAGTTGAGTCCCTTAAATAGAAACATCTTCTGTTGCAGAAAGATTTTTATGTGAGGTAGAAATTGATCTTCAAAGTGCCTGGTACTGTTGCATGGAGGCAGAAACCAGAGGGCTTGTAGATTCTGAACTGTTTTTAATGACAATGTGATCTATATAATGGAGCAGCCTGTTAATCTCCATTTCCTTTCTGCTTCTAGGTGTCAGCGCAAGGGAGTAAAACCTCATCAGAAGCAGAGTCCCGAATTTTCTGGTTAGGACTAATTACCTGCCCTATGATCTGGGTGATATTTGCATTCAGTGCTCTCTTTTCTTTCAAAGTGAAGTGGCTGGTGAGTGGACTCCCTTGACTCAGGAATAGATCCTGTGTGTTACAGACAAGGTGGTGTAAATCAATGACTGTGTTTTTCTGTGCCTTAGGCAGTGGTTGTGATGGGAGTGGTGCTTCAGGGAGCCAACCTTTATGGTTATATCAGGTGTAAAGTTGGCAGTAGAAAGAACTTGACAAGCATGGCGACCAGCTATCTTGGGAAGCAGTTCTTGCGGCAGGTAAGATTTCCAGGGTTTTGGAAACCCTCCAGTCATATTTGTTTCTAACCGTCAGCTTCCTGACTGCCTGGGTCATGAAAAGAAAGACTGAAAAAGTTATTTGTAGTTCTGTAGAGGAAACCTCTGCACATTGCTGCTTTGTGAAATTGAGCCCCCCTTAGTAAAGTCACAGAGTAACTTGCTAATTATTGGCATCAAGTTCCATTTGCAGCACATTGTGGGTTCCCGTTATTTGCTGGTGCCATGGGCAGGTGCCATTGAAATTACTGGAATATGTCTGGTACATTGGAAATCAGGAACATATTCACTGTGTGAACTACCTTTGGATAATGCATTGCTAAATTACTCCTTTCACTGCTTCCTCTTCAGGTTGTGCTAGCCACAGAACCATACATCTGGAGGGATGTGGCACTACTGCTTGTGCTTCAGTGCACAGCTGCAGCGTGTGTAGCTCTTAGCTGAAAGGGCTGCTGCTGCCTTTTATATTCTTTTTCACTTCCAACCTTCTCAAGAGGTCCTTTTCTACCCCAGCGCTGGGTTTTCTCCCTTCGACAGGTCCCTGCAGTGTTGGGCACACCTGAGCCCTGTCCCTTTTCTAGGCTGTCATTTAACATCTGCTTTGATCGAGTTACCTGAGTGTGCTGTGTTACGCAGACAGCTCTGGGGAGAGGTGGTTTGGCTGCCACGGATTCACACAAGTTTGCTGGGATTACTCATTGATCAGAAGCTCGAACTGTGATAAACCTTTCTTGGCTAGCTGTGCTGGGATTGTGCTCTTCTGTAGCTGGATCTGCTTCTGAATGCTTTTACCACTGCAGTGGTTAACCAGAGGCCCAGACCAGTCTCAGTCTCTGACAGAAATTAATGTCTTGCCTCAGAGTCATGGCAGTGAGCGATATAGTTCTGTACTCCATTTCTTCTTTTTATTTATTTTTTTCCTTCTGCAGACTGTGGCTAAAGAGGACCAAACAGCATCCTGAATGTAGTGGAAGCCTCAAGCCAGACCAGATTCACAGTAATGGACAACAGAGAGTTTTGCTCTGACCATGAGATTTGGGAGCTGCGTACATCAAGTGTGAATTAAAAGAAGTGAATAAATTGTGAAAGACTTCAGGTTAACACTCTGGCAACTTATATTCAATTTTCCACTAGCAGTTTGTGTTTCAGTCCTTTAGTTTTATTAATTAGAATTGATTTGCCTAAACTTCAAATTAAAAAATACCCTAGGTGGCTCTCATACAGGTTTAGAACTACTGGATGAATTAAGAGAAAATTGCTTGACATCCTTCAGAAGAACCGTGCACAAGCTGAGCCTTGTTATCCAGGAACTCCCCCAACTCCCAGCAGCTGGTGCCTCACATAGTTTCAGATGTGGACGTGGCTGTGTTTTGTTCTTGGAGGTCATTGCTGCTTTGTTACGGAGTTTAGATAGTGCTCTTTTGGCTCTGCCTCTCTCATTCTGTGATTTCAACAGTGCTGAGATGGTTGCAGTGAAGGACATCTAAAGGAAATGTTGCTGTTGGCTCAGAGGGAAGATGATTGAAATCTCGTGGAAGCTGCAGAAAGTGACTTCTGAGCACCTCAGGTCATATTTACCTGAATCACTCTTGGAGTTCTCAGCAACATCTTAAACCCCTGCATTTATGGGAAGTCCCTGTACCTGTAGGCCTGCACCTGTATGGAAATGACAAGAGTAAAACCAGTTTCTGAGGCAGGTTGCACGGCCATCCCGGAGCTGGAGGGCGTCGGGGCACAGCCAATGGCTCAGTGGTGCTGTTGCCATCGGGCGTGGTGTCGGCGCGGCGCGGTGCTGTGCATCCGGTGCCGCCGGGCTCCTCTGGCCGGGAGGGTGTAGCGTGGTGGGATCTGCAGGTTCCTCACTAGCCCCTCGGCACAGGGAGCGGGGATGACAGGGGTTTATGCTTTTTGAATCCATGCAGAGTGCTGTTCTCGAGCTGTGCTCCCCAAGGTGTCTCTAGGGGCTGGAAAGAAAGCCTTTTGTAGGATTGTGTGGTGTTGGCTGGCAGTGTTCACTTAGACAGCTGGAAGTGGTGTGTTTTGTGTGATAAGCTGTATGAAAAGGGTCAGTTTCTCCTTGTCACGTAATTCTGTTCAAGGCAGATTGTACTTTCGTGGCAGCAGATATTGTAGACTTCAGATGAGATATTTTAAATTAAGAAATGGTTTCTTTTTGAATAATGGGTATTGTAAATTGTGGGATTGCATTAACATGATTCCTCTCCCTGTACTGTAGCAATATTTGGGAGCTGTACATTTGTTTAACTCTTTGGATTGATACCTTCCTTTTGTAAATATGTATTTATAAAATCTTGAAATTAAAATAATGCTTTGTTTAACCAGACAAGATATCCCTTCTGCGATTCACAGCCGAGCTCTGTTTATACACTGTGTTCTTGTGATGTACAGGGGTTACTTGTCAAGTTAAACGGTGCTGTTCAGTGAGCTCTGGCACACTTCCTTTCACCTGGGAGTCTTGGACAGTTTTCCTTGTGCAAACACTTCCCTCCCAAGCGTGCTGGAGTGGTGACCATGCAGAGCTGGAGGGGTTGTTGCTCTGTAAGGCTCTGCTGGAGGGGCTGAGAGGCTTCTGAGGGCACTCGGAGGGCCCGGCTGCCCAGGTCCCGGGCTCGCTCCTGGCAGGTGGAAGCGTGCTCCCATAAATGCTCCTGCCACCACTGATGGGAACTTCTAATCCCCTTTGAAGTGGAAAGGATGATTTATTTCTCAAGAATTAATGTAAACAGGCCAAATGAAGTCAATCACTGAAGTGAAGGTGCTTCTGCAGCCACGGGGGGATGCACGAGTCCCGTGTCTGGCCTGTGCGGCGGGAGGGAAGGGAAATCCTGCTCCAGCCCAATGAGCCCCCGGTTCACCACTGCTGGCCGAGGCACAGTGCTGACTGCAGCACAGCTCCAGCCACAAGGTAGTTGTTTTAAAATGTGTTGAAAGTTTTGGACTTAATGTTTATTCCTCTGCTGCCAAACTTCCCCCAAAACTACTGGAAAGCAGAGAGTGCTTTTCTGGAAGTTGCAGTTTATTTGATCAAGGACAGAGGTATTAGTATGTGCCTTTAAGTATAGACCTCTTTGGCTTATTTTTACTCTCTTGGCAAGCGTTCAGTCTTTTGGCTCACGAGAAGCTGGCATTTTATTGCATTTCTCCACAGCATGGATCAGAACCAAATTTCTTATCGCTGCTCCAGTTGGGTGTGAGTCTCTCGTTTGATTTTTTTTACTCGCTGTGTGCTGGGATTTCCTGTGAAGCAGGAAGTGGGAGTTGCTGCAGAATGGGGAAATTCTCTGAATGTGCTTTTTTTTCAGCGAGCCTCCGGAATCCACACTAAGCCAGTTTCTTGAGCATTAGCTGTGTAATGGCCCCACCTAAGACCTCCAGACCTGGGTGGTGGCTGAACTTCCAGGATTTACAGAAGCAGAAATACTCCAAGAGCAATAATAAAATACTATTTGCTCTGAAATAGCAAAATATGCCTCAAATGTTGCAAGCACAGCTGAAAGCTGGGCTCAAAATAATCCTCATTTTACAGGCAGAGCCATTTTGAGTCCTTGAAGCATAGTGTCTTGGGCCAGCAGGGAGCTCGCTCACAATGCTGGGGACAGAATGAGTCCTGGGGGACATTTGCTGTCTGCTTTGGGGGTGTGCAAGGTCTCATCCTTCCTGTGTGTCCTAGGGATGAGCTGCTGCCTTGCTCTTTGGCCACAGCAGGGACCTGACCCCTCCTGCTCCTGCAGACCAGCCCTGGTTTGTCCTCGCCCACCGTGGCATTGTGCTGTGCTGGGTGCTGAGTCCCCAGGGAAGGTGCCTGGTTTCAGGGGCAGAAGAAATGCTTTTTCTGGCCATGTCCTTTAACACATTCCTGTGGTTCATCTGGATATTCTCAAAACACAAAAGCTTTAAAGGCAGTTTTGCCCCTGTCCGGGGGTGAACTGCAGGGAAGGGTGAAGGAGGGATGCTGAGTGTGCACTGGCAGTCTGGCCCCAGGCGCTTGGAGCCTGTCTGTCTTTTCTTCCACGAATTTCTTGGAGATTTGCCGGGCCTGGAGGGCTGCAGGGAAAGCTCAATTTTAGTTGCTTGGCAGAGGCCACGGTCAGCCCTGCTCAGACGGGACAGGACATCCCAGCTGGTATTTCCTAAACAAAAAGCTGCAGTGACTAATGGAGAGTGACCTTTGGGGAGACCAAAGGGAGTGGGGATGTGGGTGAGGAGGGTGGATGTTGGCCAGGACCCAGCGCAGCTTCCAGGCTCCTGGCAGGAAGGAATTTCTCGCTTCCCTCCTGCCTTTCCGTGCAAACAGCCCCAGTTTGGGAGTGGGTGTCCCTTTCTACCCTGCACAGTCACAGTGCACCAAGAGCCTCCTCACTGCCCTGATTAGAGAGATGAAGGGGAGAGAGAAAGGAAATGCTATATCTGTTTTACTGATAGCAGCACTTTTATACCACAGAGGACACGTGTGCCTGTTATTATCTGCCTCTGTGTGCCGAAAGCGGAGCGGGTGTGTTGAATGTGATTCCAGTTCCTTCCTGCCCCCCAGTGCGGGGCTCAGGGCAGCTGACGTCGTGGACATGCTGTGCTGGTTTCCACGGCTCAGCCACAGGCTGCCAGCACTCAGCTGCTTGAATTTCACTCCTGTTTCTCAGAGGGAGGCATCACCTTTGGGCACTGCTGCGGGGACGGTCTCATCCTCAGCTCGCAGCAGGTATGTGTGCTCCCAGCTGGTCCTTGCAGCTGCGAGAGCAGCTCTCGGTCAGCCTGAACCCATCAAATCCAAAATACGTCTCAAGCAGTAGCTAATAGCTAAGGTCAAGAAGGCCAGTGGCATCCTGGCTTGTATCAGCACTAGCGTGGCCAGCAGGGACAGGGAAGGGATCTGCCCCCTGGGCTCGGCTGGTGAGGCTGCACCTCGGTGAGTGGGTTCAGTTTTGAGCCCCTCACCCCAAAAAGGCCATTGAATGACTCGAGCGTGGCCAGAGAAGGGCAACAGCTGGTGCAGGGTCTGGAGCACAGGTCTGCTGGGGAGCGGCTGAGGGAACTGGGGGGGTTCAGTCTGGAGAAGAGGAGGCTGAGGGGAGACCTCCTGGCCCTCTGCAACTTCCTGACAGGAGGGGGCAGAGAGGGGGGATGGGTCTCTGGAGCCAAGGAGCCAGCGCCAGGCCCCGAGGGAATGGCCTCAAGCTGCCCAGGGCAGGGTCAGGCTGGCTCTGAGGAAGGATTTCTGTGCAGAAGGGGCTGTTGGGCGTTGGAATGGGCTGCCCAGGGCAGGGGGGGAGTCCCCATCCCTGGAGGGGGTGGAGAGTCGGGCTGACCCAGCGCTGAGGGATCTGGGGGAGTTGGGAACGGTCAGTGTGAGGGTCATGGTTGGGCTGGAGGAGCTTCAGGGGCTTTTCTAACCTTGATGATTCTGGGATTCTGTAATTCCACGTGTCTAGCAAAGACTACATTGAAATCACAAACACACAGCCACGCTTCCAGTAACACCTTTTGTACCTCCACAGGTTTGTGGCTCCTTCTGTCACCTGGCGGATTTTGCTGCCATTAATTTGTTTCCATTCTGAGATCATGCAGACTTTTAGTATCCGCAATGGCCTGCAGCGGAGAGCTCCAGTAATTAACATGGCCTATGCTTTGGATTCTTTCACGAAGTAGTAATTTATACATTATCCAGTTAGTGCTATTAATGTCAATAAGCATCTCATCCCCCAGCTGCTTGCTACATGTTTCAAAGAACTTTATAGACTCATAGAAAGGTTTGAGTTGAAAGGGAGTTTAAAGCCCATCTAGTGCCCCCCCACCCTGCCCCGGGCAGGGACACCTTCCGCTAGCCCAGGTTGCCCAAAGCTCCATCCAACCTGGCCTTGAACCCTTCCAGGGATGGGGCAGCCACAGCTTCTCTGGGCAACCTGTGCAAGGGCCTCACCATGCTCACAGTAAAGAATTTCTTCCTTATATCTAACCTAAATCTACCCTTTTTCAGTTTAAAACCATCACCCCTCATCCTATTACACCCCATGATCAAGAGTCCCTCCCCATCTTTCCTGTAGCCCCTTTAAGTACTGGGAGAAATCTCCCTGGACCCTTCTCTTCTCCAGGCTGAACCTCACAGGGGAGCTGCTCCAGCCCCTGAGCATCTTTGTGGCCTCCTCTAGCCCCCCTTGAGCAGGTCCGTGTTCTTCTGATGATGGTGCCCCCAGAGCTGGACCCAGCACTGCAGAGGGGTCTCACAAGAGATCTGCTCCATGATCCTGCCAGGCACAGAGGTGAGACTGACTGGTCTGTAGTTCCTGGGCTCTTCCTTTTTTCCCCTTTTTAAAAATGGGGGTTATGTTTCCCCTTTTTCAGTCAGCAGGAACTTCACCAGGCTGTCACAACTTCCCAAATATGATGGATAGTGGCTCTGCCACTTCATCTGAATTTCCTCAGGACCCGCAGATCATCTCATAAGGTCCCATGGGCTTGTGCACCTTCAGGCTCCTTAGATGGTTTTGAACCTGATCTCCTACAGTATTTACAGGTGACACTCCCCTTGGCAAAACCCACACTGATGCCTTTCAGCTATTTTGTGTATCTGTGGGTCCTGGTCTTTAGAAGTCTGCGCAGCTTGCTCAGTATAGGAGTTGGATTTTCTGGTCTGTTGTTCCTCATATTTCTCGAGAATCCTTAAAAAAAAAACCCCAAAATGCAGTATCACACTTGCCACCTTCCACCCATCTGGCACCAGGACAAGCAGTTGGTTTGTCTGGGGATTAGTGGCTCAGTTGGTCCATCCCTGAGCCCTTTGGACTCCTCCTGAAAATCTCCTTGGCATGCAGAATTATTCCTCTTCGTGTTGCCAGTTTGGTCAAATCTCCTATTTAGTTCATTTTGGGCAAGTTCTTTAGATTTTTGGGGGTTTTTTTCCCTTTTTTTTTTTTTTTCTCCAATCACAAAGCAATGTGTAAACAACTCCATAGTAACCACTGGAGTACATGAGTCATCCAGTTTTGCTGCCACAGGACATACTCACTTGCTCTTGCCTACTTTATGTTTTCAGATTAAAGGAGGGTTTAGTTGTTGAGACGGTTACTCATGGTTTCCTGCTGAGTGTATGATGTTGAGACTTTTTTGATGGTTTGTATGACTTTGCCACCATTAGATAGATCCTCTTCCCCTGCAGGACCTTCCATGCTTTGTCATCTGTCCCCTCTGCTGTAACATTTAAAACTTTATTTAAGTTTCTTTTAATCAGTAGCCAGAGTACATTTTGTGTTTGTTGGAGCCCTCGGTCATATCTGGACCCTGTTTCAGAAGGAATATGAATCACTTTGTGCCCAAACCCACCTGCAGGCA